TTCCTGTCGGGCTGGGACAAACCTGCTTACAGCCTCCTGACATTTCTGGGTGACATAGTCCATCATGTCTTGTACGGACTTGGTTCCGAGTTCTGTGTCCCAATGTATATCCCATAGGAATTTATTCATTTCCTCATAGTTTCCCTTTCGGTACGCCAGCCCTTTGGTTCCCAGTTCTTTTTTGGGGGTGATAATTCCCAGCTCAACCAGGTACTCAAAGCTCAATACACTATGATCACTCATTCCCAAGAGGGCTTCCAACTTAACTTCCCTTATATCCGACTCATTTAGGGTAAATATCAGATCACGCAAGGCTGGTTCATCCCCTCCTCTCATTCTTGTCGGTCCCTTGACGTGTTGACCTAGAAAGTTTCTTGTTGCCACATCCAGCAGCTTAGCTCTCCATGTGTCTGGGCCTCCATGTGGGTCTCTGTTCCCCTAATCTATCTTCCCATGGTTGAAGTCTCCCATGATTAGAAGTCTGGATCCGTTCCTGCTAGCCACAGAAGCTGCTCTCTCTATTATATTGATGGTGGCCAAGTTGTTTCTATCATATTCCTGTCTGGGTCTTCTGTCATTCGGTGGGGGGTTATATATGACTACTATTATAATTTTCTGTCCTCCAGCTGCTATGGTGCCTGAAATGTTGTCACTGAAACCTTCACAGTTCTGAATTACCATCTCTTCGAAACTCCAACCTTCTCTTAGTAGCAGAGCTACACCACCTCCTCCTCTCCCTTCTCTCTCTTTCCTCACTACATAGTAGCCCTGTGGAAACACTGCGTTTGTTATGATTTTCGTTAACTTTGTTTCTGTGAGTGCTATTATGTCTGGATTTTCTTCTAGTGCCCATTCTCCAAGTTCACTTGTTTTATTTGAAATCCCATCTATGTTAGTGTACATCGCCTTGAAGCTCACTTTCTTCTGTTCATTTTCATGTCCCTTTCTTGGCAAGCATTCTGCTGGTGTGGGAAGCTGTTCCGTGGGTGAGAGGATCCGTGAGGTGGCTTGCAGGGTCTCAGAGGATTTTGGGGTGGGGGGTGGGGGTTTAAGGGAAGGGGGGACAGGTAGGGTGTGGGTTAAGGAGGTAGGGGGGACATGGAGGATACAGGGTGAGGAGGGATAGGGAGGGTATGGGATGAAGGGGGAGGGGGGACAGGGGGGAAAAAGGTGGGAGGGGGGACATGATGGGAATGGGGAAGGGGTGTCAGGGTCAGAATGGGGTGGGGGGGGGAGGGAGGGTTGGGTGGGGGCAGGTAGGGTGAGGGGAAGGGAGGGTGGTGGTGTTGCCCCCCCCCCCTCTGGTATTGCTGGGATGCTGGTTTTGGGTTCTCCTCTTGTCTCTGGGACTGTTGTGTTGAGGGCTGTGATTTCCTGGTTTGCTCCTCTCTCCCTGCGCTTCCTCCTTGCCTTTGCTGCCCTGGCTCTCTCCTCCTTCGTCCTGTCCCTCTGCAGGAATACTTTTTTGTATCCCTCCATATGCTGCAGACGACTCTTCCTTTCGAGAATGTCCTCCTTCGTGGTTTCGTTTGCAAACACCACCTTTACAAGTCGGTTTCTGTCCTTGTTGTACCAGCCCAACCTGAAAACCTTCTCTATGTTATGTACAGCTCCTTCCATCTGTAACCCCTTCAGTAGCCCATGTACTGCCTCTCTATCCTTGCCATTCCATTCTTGCCTGATGGATCCTTCCTGTTCTTTGATGCCTACAACTACCACTGATCTTTTTCTCTCCAGCAGTTGAGTGGTGCACCTTGCAGCTTCCTGTGACGTAGCTGCTTGCATCGCTACCTCCCTCACTGTGTGAGGTGTGTGAACATGGGAGATTAGTTATGGGGAAAATGGTGTGGTGTGTGTGTGGGAGACAGCGTGTGGTGGAGATGGGTGTGTGGACATAGATGGGGAGAGTGTATAGACGGGGGGAAAGCATGACACGGTGTGTGTGGGAGAAGATACAGGAAGTATGTGCTTAGAGGAAGAGGGAAAGCGTATGTTTGAAGATACACCTGGACGCGTATGTGTAGGTAAGAGATGGGGGAGGGTGTTACGGCCATAATGGGTCGCAACCGGGTTCTTTTCTGGTGGTACTAAAGTTCTGGTATCCGGCCCCAAGTAAGTAGTGGCTTTCAAGGAGTGAGCTCGGTAATGCAAGTAAAACAAAAGGGGGGGTTGTATTGAATGCTACACTTCATAAAATGTAGATATATTTACATATGATAAACTTTTCCATCACCTCGTAAATAATCCTAACAAAAGTATTAGTAGACCTAATATGTACAAAAGTGTCTCATGGAACACTAAGCGCTCTTCGATGCTGGTGTTGCAGTCTTGTAAGCTAACGTGTTTCCTCATCCATAGTACTGTCCTCAGCAGGTACCGAGAAACAACATTGAGTCTACCCTGGCCACGGGGCAGCCAAACCACAGTTTCACTAAGAGCTTCCTCGTGAAGGCCCACAACCACAGTCCAGCCTGGTGCTGGCAGATACCATCAGCCTCGCGCAGCTGGGACACTTCACGTGCAAATACTAGGGTAGTGATCCTAGGCAGGAGCTTCGTGCAACTCGCCGGTTACTCTCCTCTTCAGTACCTTAGTCAGTCGTCTCTTCTATTAGCCAGCCCCGGGTACGGCGAATCCCATCACTGCCACTCCACAGGCAGACAGTAGAACACTTCACAGTTCTCTTCCGGCGGCGGCTCAATGCTTCCGTAAAGCAGACTGGTGTAGAGCCCGTGGCTGCCCTGGGTAGACTGACTGTCCTTGTATCATAGCAGCCCCACGTCGACTCTGTGAATACAGACTCGTCATCAGTACACTGGGACACTAGGAAACAACACTTACTGACTTAGACACATACACCCAACTCCGCTGGCTGGTATAGTCCTGTCACTACTAGATGGCGTCGTCCATTTTACATACGATTCTGGGGTAGTACGGGTGCGGACTCGTAGATGATGCTGAAACTGCCACCCTACCCCCTGACATGGGTGACGAGTCCGTAACAGAGGGTGTGTGGGATAGGCCTGGACATAAGGTGACCGGGCACCGCCGGATACGTCTACACCTGCAGCCAACTATCCTATCAGCGTCACAGCCACCATTACTATCCTCATCTCTTGGCTTTGGAGAGTTACTAATCGTTACTCCCTGACAACCTTCACACTGGGATTTACTTATAATTATATTATTAACGAGATATTAACTGCCAATCTACAGTTCTTAAGCATGAAATTGAATACTCTGTTTAGACGGTACTAAATTAATTATTTCTCTGCCCTGTTTTAAATTTATTAAAATTCTCATTCAAAATCACTTCCAACTTTAAATATTCAAATCAAATGCTCTCCTAATTATTTTTTGGTCTTCAGAATTTTGCACTGAAATTATAATGTAATTTTGTCTTGTGCAAATTCGTTGTTTTAAAAAAATGACAAGTAAAATTTTTTTTTGTATAATATAAATATTATCACTCTCAGGAGAGGTCTCTGAGATACTTTTCTAAAGTCTGTTCATCCTGTCACCATATTTATGTTCGTTTATTTTTAGTTTACAATATCCTAATTCATCACAACATTTGGCCTCCGACACTAACTGTTAATATTTTCCTTCCTTAACATGCTATAAAGCATAAAATGTCGTTACAATGACAAGATTATCATAAAATTCTTGCTTATAAAACATTTTTCAACTTGATTACAAATATAGTGTAGGAAATTGTTGCTTAATAGGCAAGTCAGGTCAGAGATTATATCAGGCCTCTCTTGCATTTCTTTATGACCAGCAAATATCTTATCACATTGTTGTGAATTCTTTAGAATAAATTGAATATAATTGTGTGTATTTATCTACAGCCGATCATTAAATAATAGTGATATATGAGCAACAGATGCAATGTGTTACCTTCAAAGAATAAATAATAACAACTTTAAATATCTTTATTGTAAACATTCTGGCAACTACAAGAGAAGAGTCCATTCAGGTTTCCCTTATCTAAAACAGTAGACCTATTTGGTGTATGGAGGTGCTCCTGGACCAAGACTGACCAAAGGTGTCAGGTGTGGGGGACCATCCAAACATGCCATAACCTCCCCATGCTGGCCGGGAATTGAACCCAGGACATCGGTTGTGAACCGTCAGCGCAGACTACTGTGCTAGTTATCACGTGCGTACCAATAATAACTAAACTTGTTATTGTTATTGTATATAACGAAATAAGAAAATAAAAAAATCTATGTATTAGGATCTCGTCAATATTAACCTTAGAAGATACATGACCGGACTATATAATTCTGCTACACCTAATTAACAGAACAATATGTTATTGGATTTTAAAATTTATAAAACAAAATTTTGGTAAGAATTCGGTAAAATTAACTTCATGTCCTCTTAATTGTTTTTCTTCGCGAATAATATCAATGAAATTAGCGAAAAGAAATGAGAGGACTTAAGAGGACGATAAAGATTAATTTTATGAGGCAGGATGCGGAGGCTTAAGTGAAGAGACTCAAGTGAGAGTCAGGGACACCAATCTTCTTAAGAAAGTTGCACTTTTACCCTGGGAAGTGTCTAAAGTGGCGGGTGAGGGCGTGGGTTATGGCTTATCTGCCGCCCACACCAGCGTGTTATGTCTCAGGCAGTGGAGATTATATCTCTCTTATTTACTCACACGCTTGGCTTTATGACGGCTTCACTGAGAAAGAGAGGAGAGGGTGAGAGAGATTGAGATAGAGACTATGTGCAGGAAGAGAGGGAATATAGGTCAGCCTGGGGCACGACTACACTTTCCACAGTGAAACATATATTCATGGGCATCTTGACTCAACGAAAATACATGAATATGTCCGCCCAATTGGGCATGTGCATCATTTATATTGTTCACGTGTATCCCAAACCAAGTGGGCACGCGGACATGCTCTCTGTTGCTGCAGGTCCACCTATCCTCTGCTGCTGTACAGGGGCACGTCCACCTTCCCTCTGCTGCTGTACAGGGGCACGTCCACCTATCCTCTGCTGCTGTACAGGGGCACGTCCACCTTCCCTCTGCTGCTGTACAGGGGCACGTCCACCTTCCCTCTGCTGCTGTACAGGGGCACGTCCACCTTCCCTCTGCTGCTGTACAGGGGCACGTCCACCTTCCCTCTGCTGCGGTACAGGGGCACGTCCACCTTCCCTCTGCTGCGGTACAGGGGCACGTCCACCTTCCCTCTGCTGCGGTACAGGGGCACGTCCACCTTCCCTCTGCTGCGGTACAGGGGCACGTCCACCTTCCCTCTGCTGCGGTACAGGGGCACGTCCACCTTCCCTCTGCTGCTGTACAGGGGCACGTCCACCTTCCCTCTGCTACGGTACAGGGGCACGTCCACCTTCCCTCTGCTGCTGTACAGGGGCACGTCCACCTTCCCTCTGCTGCGGTACAGGGGCACGTCCACCTTCCCTCTGCTGCGGTACAGGGGCACGTCCACCTTCCCTCTGCCAAATGTTAGTTAATCTATTCCTAAAACAGCTGTTTTTGAGTGAGAAACACTTACCACACAGCTGATGACGTTTGAACATTTATCGAACAGGGGTCCGATTACGTAGTGTGTTCGGATCTTTCTTTTGTTTGGCTTCACCTACCTACAATAGATGCACATAATTGCCCACGGAAAGAATCTAAACACTAACCCTAACCTACTCTACGCCGAACTGTTCACCATATTATTTATTAATATTAATATAGATGCATGAAATTACAGTTTTTGAATTCACGATACATTGATGAATGCGACTTGGAGATTTGGCCGCAGCTCGGGCGAGCATACCCTGAGGTCGGGGTTAATGCCTTTGTTGTGGTGTCTGGCATACACCTGAGAGCAGCCCCGGCCACAGTCGGCCAGACATTGTAGGTCGCTGTGGCTCCACCCATGAGTGTCTGAAGGTGTGTAATGTGCTGCCTCGGGTCTTAACTGTGACAGTTCCCGATGTGTGGCCGAGGTCTTCCAGTGTAAGGAAACAATATTGCAACACAGGAAGCAGGTTATCCTGTGTTGCGCCGTGGCTCTCAGTCTGTTGCCCCGGGAATACCATTTGTGATACTGAGACCTTCATTGAATGTCCACGGCCACGTTACGTGAGACAGTAGAGTGACGGTCTCTCTTCATGCTGGTCCACGTTCAATCACCGATCGTCCAAGTGGTTGGGCACCATTCCTTTGTCCCATCCCAAATCCTTATCCTGATCCCTTCCAAGGGCTATATAGTTGTTATGGCTTGGCTCCTTCTCTTGATAGTTCTCTTCCCTTCCGTGGCCCCAGGACACTGATGTGTAGCACAAGGGGTGGGCGGGGACACCCATGTGTAGCACAAGGGGTGGGCGGGGACACCCATGTGCAGCACAAGGGGTGGGCGGGGACACCCATGTGTAGCACAAGGGGTGGGCGGGGACACCCATGTGTAGCACAAGGGGTGGGCGGGGACACCCATGTGTAGCACAAGGGGTGGGCGGGGACACCCATGTGTAGCACAAGGGGTGGGCGGGGACACCCATGTGTAGCACAAGGGGTGGGCGGGGACACCCATGTGTAGCACAAGGGGTGGGCGGGGACACCCATGTGTAGCACAAGGGGTGGGCGGGGACACCCATGTGTAGCACAAGGGGTGGGCGGGGACACCCATGTGTAGCACAAGGGGTGGGCGGGGACACCCGTGTGTAGCACAAGGGGTGGGCGGGGACACCCGTGTGTAGCACAAGGGGTGGGCGGGGACACCCGTGTGTAGCACAAGGGGTGGGCGGGGACACCCGTGTGTAGCACAAGGGGTGGGCGGGGACACCCGTGTGTAGCAAGGAATGGTCGAACAAATGGTTGTTAGAGTTTACATTACATTTGGTTGGGTTAATGAAAATAGGTGTAGGGAGCAGGAGGCCAGATACAAGGTATCATCTAGGAGAGGAAATTCTTCAGGAGTCAGAGAAGGAAAAAGACTTGGGGGTTGATATAACGCCAGACCTGTCTCCTGCAGCACATATCAAGCGGATAACATCAGCGGTATATGTCAGGCTGGCCAACATACGAACGGCATTCAGAAACTTGTGTAAAGAATCATTCAGAACTTTGTATACCACATATGTCAGGCCAATCCTGGAGTATGCAGCCCCAGCATGGAGTCCATATCTAGTCAAGGATAAGACTAAACTGGAAAAGGTTCAAAGGTTTGCCACCGGACTAGTACCCGAGCTGAGAGGTATGAGCTACGAGGAGAGACTACGGGAATTAAACCTCACTTCGCTGGAAGACAGAAGAGTTAGGGGGAACATGATCACAACATTCAAGATTCTGAAGGGAATTGATAGGGTAGATAGAGACAGTCTATTTAACACAAGGGGAACACGCATAAGGGGACACAGGTGGAAACTGAGTGCCCAAATGAGCCACAGAGATATTAGAAAGAACTTTTTTAGTGTCAGAGTGGTTGGCAAATGGAATGCATTAGGTGGTGATGTGGTGGAGGCTGACTCCATACACAGTTTCAAGTGTAGATATGATAGAGCCCGATAGGCTCAGGAATCTGTACACCTGTTGATTGACGGTTGAGAGGCGGGACCAAAGAGCCAGAGCTCAACCCCCGCAAACACAACTAGGTGAGTACAACTAGGTGAGTACACACACACACACATTATGTGGAGAGGGAGAGGGAATATAGGTCTTCCTGGGGCACGACTACACTTTCCACAGTGAAACAAATATTCATGGGCATTTTGACTCAACGAAAATACATGAATATATCCGCCATATTACTTGGGCATGTGCATCATTTACATTGTTCACGTGTATCCCAAACGAAGTGGGCACGCGGACATGCCCTCTGTTGCTGCAGGTCCAACTTCCCTCTGCTGCTGTACAGGGGCACGTCCACCTTCCCTCTGCTGCTGTACAGGGGCACGTCCACCTACCCTCTGCTGCTGTACAGGGGCACGTCCACCAATCCTCTGCTGTTGTACAGGGGCACGTCCACCTTCCCTCTGCTGCTGTACAGGGGCACGTCCACCTTCCCTCTGCTGCTGTACAGGGGCACGTCCACCTTCCCTCTGCTGCTGTACAGGGGCACGTCCACCTTCCCTCTGCTGCTGTACAGGGGCACGTCCACCTTCCCTCTGCTGCTGTACAGGGGCACGTCCACCTTCCCTCTGCTGCTGTACAAGGGGCACGTCCACCTATCCTCTGCTGCTGTACAGGGGCACGTCCACCTATCCTCTGCTGCTGTACAGGGGCACGTCCACCTATCCTCTGCTGTTGTACAGGGGCACGTCCACCTATCCTCTGCTGCTGTACAGGGGCACGTCCACCTATCCTCTGCTGCTGTACAGGGGCACGTCCACCTATCCTCTGCTGCTGTACAGGGACACGTCCACCAATCCTCGGCTGTTGTACAGGGGCACGTCCACCTTCCCTCTGCTGCTGTACAGGGGCACGTCCACCTACCCTCTGCTGCTGTACAGGGGCACGTCCACCAATCCTCTGCTGTTGTACAGGGGCACGTCCACCTTCCCTCTGCTGCTGTACAAGGGCACGTCCACCTTCCCTCTGCTGCTGTACAGGGGCACGTCCACCTTCCCTCTGCTGCTGTACAGGGGCACGTCCACCTTCCCTCTGCTGCTGTACAGGGGCACGTCCACCAATCCTCTGCTGCTGTACAGGGGCACGTCCACCTTCCCTCTGCTGCTGTACAGGGGCACGTCCACCTTCCCTCTGCTGCTGTACAGGGGCACGTCCACCAATCCTCTGCTGTTGTACAGGGGCACGTCCACCTTCCCTCTGCTGCTGTACAGGGGCACGTCCACCTTCCCTCTGCTGCTGTACAGGGGCACGTCCACCTTCCCTCTGCTGCTGTACAGGGGCACGTCCACCTTCCCTCTGCTGCTGTACAGGGGCACGTCCACCTTCCCTCTGCTGCTGTACAGGGGCACGTCCACCAATCCTCTGCTGCTGTACAGGGGCACGTCCACCTTCCCTCTGCTGCTGTACAGGGGCACGTCCACCTTCCCTCTGCTGCTGTACAGGGGCACGTCCACCTTCCCTCTGCTGCTGTACAGGGGCACGTCCACCTTCCCTCTGCTGCTGTACAGGGGCACGTCCACCTTCCCTCTGCCAAATGTTAGTTAATCTATTCCCTAAAACAGGTGTTTTTGAGTGAAAAACACTTAGCACACAGCTGATGACGTTTGAACATTTATCGAACAGTGGTCCGATTACGTAGTGTGTTCGGATCTTTCCTCTGGCTTCACCTACATACAATACATACACATAATTACCCACGGAAAGAATCTAAACACTAACCCTAACCTACTCTACGCGAACTGTACACCATATTATTTATTAATATTAATATAGATGGATGAAATTACAGTTTTTGAATTCACGATACATTGATGAATGCGACTTGGAGATTCGGCCGCAGCTCGGGCGAGCATACCCTGAGGTCGGGGTTGATGCCTTTGTTGTGGTGTCTGGCATACACCTGAGAGCAGCCCCGGCCATCTGTAGCGTAGTCTCGGCCAGACATTGTGGGTAGCTGTGGCTCCACCCATGAGTGTCTGAAGGAGTGTAATGTACTGCCTCGGGTCTTAACTGTGACAGTTCACGATGTGTGGCCGAGGTCTTCCAGTGTAAGGAAACAATATTGCAACACAGGAAGCAGGTTATCCTGTGTTGCGCCGGGACTCTTCGTCTGTTGCCCCGGGAATACCATTTGTGATACTGGGACCTTCATTGAATGTCCACGGCCACGTTACGTGAGACAGTAGAGTGACGGTCTCGCTTCATGCTGGTCCACGTTCAATCACCGATCGTCCAAGTGGTTGGGCACCATTCCTTTGCCCCGTCACATCCCAAATCATTATCCTAATCCCTTCCAAGGGCTATATAGTCGTTATGGCTTGGCTCCTTCTCCTGATAGTTCTCTTCCCTTTCGTGACCCCAGGACACTGATGTGTAGCACAAGGGGTGGGCGGGGACACCCATGTGTCATCGAACACCACGTGTGACGTTCCAATCTCCTCCTGTGCGTTCCTGGAATTCTAGTGTGTGGTTCAAGGACCCTCCAGGCGTGGCTACCGTATGTGGCGCTGGGTCCCCCCGTCTGCCGTCAAGAGGCCGGCCCCATGTGTGACCTCTGGACCCCATATGTGCCCCGGGTCCCCAGTGTCCCGAGCAGTGGGGTTCAGGCCGCCCCTCTCATATCACACACCAAGGCCAGAACAAGTACCCTTGACAGCCGCTGTCATTGTCCACTGGTGCCCGAGCCACTGATTGGATTCTTCTCATGCCATTGTCTTGTTCTCTTACAGCTCCTCTCTCTCACACCTTCCAGTTCTCCTCCTGTCCCTTCTTGTTCTCCTGTCCCTTCTTTTTCTCCTCCTGTCCCTTCTTGTTCTCCTCCTGTCCCTTCTTGTTCTCCTCCTGTCCCTTCTTGTTCTCCTCCTGTCCCTTCTTGTTCTCCTCGTATACCTCCAGTTCCCTGTTTACTCTCTCCGGTCCCAGGCTTTTTTTTTAAGGGATATTCCTGCGCGGGCCCTGAGCCTCTGGTTGGCGCGCTAAGTGTTGCTTGTTTCTGTTTTATTTGGGCGGAGTGTGAGTATTTATGACTCGTATGGTCGCTTCAGTAAGATTTTGTCCCATGTGTTTAACAACTTCTGCTCTGTTGAATCTAAGTTGAAACCTTAATGGGTTTGTAACACTGCACTGTGTTAGATAATGTTCCATTGGTCTGTCGGGCACTTCTCCACAGTGCTGACATTTCCTCTCATCTTCCAGAACCTGTAAGCTTATTTCCCATCCCAGGCCTTCATTTTCCCTTTCTTCACTTGTGCCTTACAATTAATTATTATTTATACAATAATATTCCATAATCTGCGCCCATATAATTCATCCATCCTAATGTGCCCAGCTTAGTTACTCAAGACCCCAGCTTACACCTTCCCTAACATACAATCTCCAGTTTTCTGTTAATACAATCCGTTATTTCACGCACACATTCTACAATTTTACTAATACCTTCCAGTCCTCAAGCTTTTAGTTCCAGTACCATTATGTTTGTATCAGTTCCAGTATGTAGACCGTACAGGTTCTAATATCAACTTTCCAGTCCTTTGTTATATATTACCAGTACTCTGCCTGCAATTCCACCTTTACACGTCTCATTTCCCATTGCAAATTCCGGTTCCAACCCATACATCTGATGACATATTCCAGACCCCCGCTAATACTATCCATTTCTTCACCTCTATCTTCCAGCAAACTTGTCACATTCGACAATCAATGACATATCAGTCCGTCCTCTTAAGGTCTCCAACGTCAAGAAACTGTCGTACTAAAGCGTCCTTATCCTAACCTAACAGAGAACCCAAAACAGAAAAGGAGACAGTATGTCAATTTCGCGAGCCGCTCCCATTTTCTAGTGCGACAATTTTTGGCCTTAGGTAGAAGGTATACGTCAAAATGCGACGTTCTATTAGGAGGACAGATTCGAATCCTCATTATGGTTTCTGCGGATTTATCCACTCAAACCTTCTAATTCCATTGTTTTTCCCCAACAGTCATGAGCTGAGTCTTTCTGTCAACTGATAAGACTTTCCAATGACCAACTTACACTTTCCAGTTCCTTGAGAATAGATTAACAGGATCCTATGGTGGTGACAACTGGAAACGAATCATGTCCGGTTTAAACACAAATTAAGTCATCGTCATACCTGACTTAGCAAAGAACACTTAATACAGCCAGTATTACAGTTACATAACTACGGTAACAACACCCACAATACAGCCAGTATTACAGTAACATAACTACAGTGACCACACCCACAATACAGCCAGTATTACAGTTACATAACTACAGTGGCCACACACACACAATACAGCCAGTGTTACAGTTACATAGCTACAGTGGCCACACACACACATCACACTTTAGACTTGTAAGACAATAAGAGGAGAGGAAGATGTGAGGAGTATAGGCAGTGTAGCCGGGGGCCAGGCGACCACTTGTCCTACCTCACCACAGTATACAGTGTTACACTGTTACTGGCGTTATATATGGCCTCTCTAACAGTGAACCCCACTCTCTGACAGTGAACCCCACTCTCTAACAGTGAACCGCACTCTCTGACAGTGAACCCCACTCTCTGACAGTGAACTGCACTCTCTAACGGTGAACCTCACTCTCTAACAGTGAACCCCACTCTCTAACAGTGAACCTCACTCTCTGACAGTGAACCTCACTCTCTAACAGTGAACCCCACTCTCTAACAGTGAACCCCACTCTCTAACAGTGAACCCCACTCTCTAACAGTGAACCCCACTCTCTAACAGTGAACCCCACTCTCTAACAGTGAACTGCACTCTCTAACAGTGAACCACACTCTTTAACAGTAAACTGCACTCTCTAACGGTGAACCACACTCTCTAACAGTGAACTGCACTCTTTAACAGTGAACTGCACCTTTTAACAGTGAACCACACTCTCTAACAGTGAACCGCACTCTCTAACGGTGAACCGCACTCTCTAACGGTGAACCGCTCTCTCTAACGGTGAACCGCACACTCTAACGGTGAACCGCACTCTCTAACGGTGAACCGCACTCTGTAACAGTGAACCACACTCTCTAACGGTGAACTGCACTCTCTAACGGTGAACTGCACTCTCTAACGGTGAACTGCACTCTCTAACGGTGAACCACACTCTCTAACAGTGAACAAACACTCTCTAACAGTGAACAAACACTCTCTAACAGTGAACAAACACTCTCTAACAGTGAACAAACACTCTCTAACAGTGAACAAACACTCTCTAACAGTGAACAAACACTCTCTAACAGTGAACAAACACTCTCTAACAGTGAACAAACATTCTAACAGTGTACCGCACTCTTTAACAGTGAACCGCACTCTCTAACAGTGAACCGCACTCTCTAACAGTGAACCGCACTCTCTAACAGTGAACCGCACTCTCTAACAGTGAACAAACACTCTCTAACAGTGAACAAACACTCTCTAACAGTGAACCGCACTCTCTAACAGTGAACCGCACTCTCTAACAGTGAACCGCACTCTCTAACAGTGAACCGCACTCTCTAACGGTGAACCACACTCTCTAACAATGAACCACACACTCTAACAATGAACCACACATTAACAATGAACCCCCACACTAACAATGAACCACACACTAACAATGAACCACACATTAACAATGAACCCCACACTAACAATGAACCACACACTAACAATGAACCACACACTCTAACAATGAACAAAACTCTAACAATGAACCACACACTAACAATGAACCACACACTCTAACAATGAACCGCACTCTCTAACAGTGAACCGCACTCTCTAACAGTGAACAAACACTCTCTAACAGTGAACAAACACTCTCTAACAGTGAACAAACACTCTCTAACAATGAACTGCACTCTCTAACAGTGTACCACACTCTCTAACAATGAACCACACTCTCTAACAATGAACTGCACTCTCTAACAGTGTACCACACTCTCTAACAATGAACCACACTCTCTAACAATGAACCACACACTCTAACAATGAACAAAACTCTAACAATAAACCCCACACTAACAATGAACTCTGTAGTAAACTTGCACACAATATAAATAAAGACTTTCCAGCACCAACCTTCCAGCACTTGAAGCCAACTATAAAGTCTCGTCTCTCAAGGACTCCAGGCACCTTCACGAGATGAAATGTTCATTAACCTCAATCATTATGAAATATCTACCACTTGTGTGTGTGTATAATGCAGGTCCTGGCAGTAATGTTCTTTATCACCCCCAAGACTTTGTGGCTAAGATATTGGAACATTTATTTAATTTACTGTTATTTAAATTTAGTAGTTGAAGCTCCTTCACGTTTATAATATTCTGGCAACAATGTGACAATATTTGATAGGCTTTACTAGATGTTAATGAGAGGCCTGCGTGTCCTCTCAGGTATAGTACACGAAGGACGATGTCTGCAGCAGCGGTAGTTTACATTGACGCAGCCATGTAAACAACGCTCGCAAGAGTGGTAGTTTACATAGACGCAGCCATGTAAACAACGCTCGCAAGAGCGGTAGTTTACATTGACGCAGCCATGTAAACAACGCTCACAAAAGCGGTAGTTTACATAGACGCAGCCATGTAAACAACGCTCACAAGAGCGGTAGTTTACATAGACGCAGCCATGTAAACAACGCTCACAAGAGCGGTAGTTTACATAGACGCAGCCATGTAAACAACGCTCGCAAGAGCGGTAGTTTACATAGACGCAGCCATGTAAACAACGCTCATAAGAGCGGTAGTTTACATAGACGCAGCCATGTAAACAACGCTCACAAGAGCGGTAGTTTACATAGACGCAGCCATGTAAACAACGCTCACAAGAGCGGTAGTTTACATAGACGCAGCCATGTAAACAACGCTCACAATACAAATATAGAATTAAAAATGAAACAACACATGAATATTTGGAAATGAGTC